ATCCTCAAAGGTCCAGCGGCGTGTAAACTGCTCGTTATCAGCTGGTCATCCTCAAAGGTCCAGCGGCGTGTAAACTGCTCGTTATCAGCTGGTCATCCTCAAAGGTCCAGCGGCGTGTAAACTGCTCGTTATCAGCTGGTCATCCTCAAAGGTCCAGTGACATGTAAACTGCTCGTTATCAACTGGTCATCCTCAAAGGTCCAGCGGCGTGTAAACTGCTCCTTATCAACTGGTCATTCTCAAAGGTCCAGCAGAGTGTAAACTACTCATTATCAGCTGAGCATCCTCAAAGGTACAGTGACTGGTTGCTCACAAGACTTGTCTGGGTAGTGCTGTATGCTCTGTTACACCTAGGGGTTTGTGGCTGCCTTGGGGGTCCACCCGGCACTGGTCAATCTTGGCCCGAATCCCGACAGGACCCCCATTGACCCCTGATCATCCAAAAGTGGCCCGCAACCTTGGCGTCCAGCTGCCTGGCGATAACCTGGGAGCTCGTTATAATTACCATCTGACGGAATAACGCTAACGAGCGGCTAAATGCTCTGTTGTAGCTTTAATTAGATGGTGCTTCAAATTAATAATTGCCGTTCAAGTGAGAAGCCGGTAACTGTTGTCGGCAGTTCCGTTTTAATAAGGATGCCGTTTGCCACTGAGCGAATCTCTCAGTCTGAGGCTTTTTCCGGGGGGCCTCTGGCAGCGATTTGGGGGGGGGGGGGGGGGCAGGTCTGTTTGGTTATCTTCCAAGTGCAGCAAAGCTCAGCTGAGATTAAATTCATTCAGTTCACTGTGGATATCAGTATTAGGGGCCAGGAAGGAACGGGTGGAGAGGTGGAGAAGAAAAGAGATAGGAGAGGAGGAAAGAGAAAAAGAGAGTCCTGAAACCAGCAGGATGTGAGGGAGGTGTGCAGCGAGACGCGGCGCCGTTCTGCCGGAATCCGCCGGCTAATTAACGGATTCCCAAACCCGGGGGAAAAGTTAGAAAAACTGATGAAACGAAAACAACAGAAGTGTCCTTATCGGTCACCGTGCATGCTGGAAGAAAGGTGACACCCCACCCCCCCATACGGAGCTCTAAATGCAAGCCGCTTTGCATCCTGGCATTCTATTTACTGTTTCACCCCCCTTGTCTTGATTATCAGGACCCCCTGCCACCACAGGCAGCGTACCCCATGAGGAGAGCCCCGCAGCCGGCATACACCCCCGCACTGTTGCGTTCGCAGTGTAATTCAGCGTCGGGGGACCCGGTTTCTGCGCTGCTGTCACAGCTGTGCATTTGATCTATCGGCCTGTCAGGTGGCGCTGTCAGGCGCCCCAGCGAAGCGACATAAAGATAACTGACATCTCGCTGTCATTACCGCACGGGACCGCCGTCACTCTCGCCATATTTATTCCCTATTCCGGAACCATCCCCCTCCCGCCCCCCGCCTGTCTCTCTCTCGGACCCCTGGTCGTTTTTCTTCCTCGGCATGGCCTTTTTCCAGAACAATTTGGTGATGGATTAAACGCTTCGGAAAAACCAGACGGCCTCAGGGCGGGGGTGGGGGGGGGTGAGGGAGGGAAGATTGAAGACAAACTGATTTCCGCTTTCCGCCTGGTTTTGTTATTTATCACAGAGAGTCGCAGCGCCCCCCAGAGGAATAGCAGCCTGCTTAAAAAAAACACTTTACAAACGAGTTACTTTAGTAAGAAGGAACAGTGGCTGGGAGATCCTTAAATGGGAAATGCTGATGTACCCTAGAGAATGTTTAGCTGTTTAAGTAGATTTTGAAGTACTAGCATGTGTTAAGTTAAATTGATGCATGTATATGATGTCACTCCCTAATGATGGTCCTGATGTTGGACCACTGAACTGCTTTTTGAACAGCTGTTCAAACAGGTGTTTCAACGGTGTGACAGAGAAACTCATTTAATTTTGGCAACCTTCTCAATGTGTGTGTGTGTGTGTGTGGATTAGGTTTATATTATATTGTGGGGCCAAATGTTCCCTACAATGTATTAAAGACCCGTTATTTTGATGTTGTGGGGACTATTTCTCAGGTGCCCACAAAGATCTGTGAATGCAATGAAAAAACGAATAATGCCAAAAGTCTTGTATTTAGTTTGGTTGCTTGTGGTTAAGGTTAAGGCCGGGTAGGGGTTATGGTTGTCATATTTGGGATTAGGGTTATGCCCATAGAGATGAATGGATGGTCCCCGCAAAGATATGAATACAAACATTCAACTGCATCTGCAACACACAGACTTCACCAGCACACACACAAACCTGCTGTTATCTGTGCGTCTTCGTTCACCAGCAGGTGGCGCAGCGGTTCAGAACCCGGATTTTCTGTTGAAAGATTGCTGGATGTAAGTAAAGTCAGGATTAACAGCTTTCAAGCCCAAGTGGTTTAGTCCGGTTGTCAGAAAAACACTGCATCCGTTGGTATCAGTCCTGGTCACTGAGACCCATTCCCGTGGAGGAACCGTGACATTCCTGCACAAGAGAGTGTGGGGGCCCCTACAGGCAGGTGCCTGACCAGCCCTGGTCCCTGCCAGGCCCCCCCCGCCATGGCTGGCTCTCCTGCTGCCGTCGTATGTGATGCCACTGTGATCATAGCCCCCCCCCCTCGACTCCCTCCCCCTCTCACTGAATTAAAACCGTTTGCAGGTTGACAGTACATGCACGTCTGGGCTGTGACTGCTCCCCCTGGGGGGACATTGCCATTCCGCCAGGGACAAGAAATCATTCTCAGATGCTTTCCATGTTGTCATGTTTTTTTTCCCTGTTTTTTTTTTTTATTCCCTATGGAACATCCGTGCACTTCACAATCGTAAAAAAAGGAGGCCTAACGAGAAGCAGGGTCATCAAACTGGGCCGGTTACAACCCCGTTACCCTTACAGTGGGATTTATTTCTGTAAAGTGGAGCGAAAGCAGAAAGTGCTTGTGCACTTTCAAACTTCAGTCCTTATTTACATTCCAAGGGACGATTCTGATGTTCTTTAATGTTAACATTCTGGAATGTGAGGCAGAAAGAGCGTCATCACGTAGGCCTTTCAGCAAGTTGGTGACGTTGTGGTGCATTGTGGGTAAAGAAAATTGAGTGCCCATTCATTCAGAGCGGACTGCTGCTTAATGAGATGAGATTAACATTAAAAAAAAAAAGAAACTTAAAGCCAGTATTTTAATTTGTGGGGAATGGGTTTCACAGTCCCCCCAGGAGGGTGGGGGAGCCGTGGGGATCGTCACAGCCAAGAGAGCCGTTTGATGCCAGCCTAGAAGGAGAGGTTCCATTTCCGGATTTTTCTGTCATTTTGATATTGGCTCTGAGAAGTAAACCTCTCATGTTTCAGCATTTAAGTGCCAATCTTTTTTTTTCTGCCTGCATGTCCCCTCCGAGCCTTTTGTGCTTACTAGAGGTATGGGTGGTGATACAGCATTGCCCCTTAACACCTGCCCTTCTCCCGCCAGCAGCCATTACGAGCCGGACCGCAGCGCACTGAAGAAGAAGGAGTGGGAGAGGCGGACTCAGGAGGTGCAGCAGGATGAAGATTTGCTTTCCTCCGGCTTCAATCTGTTCGGGGAGCCCTACAAGGTAAGGGTGGGGGGGTGGCCAATCAGAGGCGGCGTTTTCTCGCCATGCTCCGGGCGTTCCCCGGCAACAGGCATGGGGTGGGGGGGGGGGTTTAATGGAAGTGGAGCAGCACAGTGTGTGATGCTACTTTCCCCATCATTTTTACACCTGGTATGGCCCTCTTTCCCAGCTTTATTCAGCTTCCTCTGCAACCTGCCCCCCCCTTCCTGATACCCCAGCCTATGAGGGGGTCTAGCCCCTTTCTGCATCCCCTGTAGTGTGTGTATAATGTTTGTCCTCCCGCATTCTGTTTTTTACCTACATGTGACGTGGACGGTGTCACACGGTGTCTCCAGGTGTCACCGAGTGTCCCAAATAAATCCAGAGCCGGCCCTTCCGGTGACCCTGAGCCGCACACTCTGCCGCCTTGCCATTAAATGGGCGTTTTCACCACTGCAACTCTCTCCCCATCTGCTCAGAGATAACATGGACGCACAGTCCCCCCCCCTCCGCCCCCCCCAGACTTGCAGACGTGACCCAGTCGTGTGGTTCTGTCACACATGCAGATAATGGTCACAATGAGTATTATAAGCCCCGTGAAATAAGATGCTCATATTTCCCAGAAATCACTGCGGACTGCAGGATCAGCACCCCACCGTATCCCACCCTGCCCCGACTGATGAGCTCGCTGCTGCCCCCTGCTGATGGATTATTTAGCACCCCGCTTTGTTTTCCCTTTTCCTGCTCCGTTTGAAAAAACGGCCCATTGCCCAAGCTCAGGGAGCCCACATAAAATAATAGCAGGGTTATTCTGCGCGGGGGGGGGCGCCAGTACATACATCCCACTGGTGGATGGGGTTAGCGGACCCTGGGGGGCAGCTGCTCCTTCTTTGTCCGGTCCCCTCGACATCACTTTGCCCCCACCCATCAGACAGAAGCTGGAATCTGGGTTAATGCGATTCCAGCAGTCTCTGTCACTCTCTCCCACCCCCTCTCCTTTCTTGCCCTTTCATTTACATATAGATATATTTTTTCCAACATGCAGCCCTAATTAGCCATGTTTGACGGAGATATTTTTTCTCTCCGGAAGCAGATGGTGACGACACAGACATCCCTGCCTGTGAATCCGCAGTGACCGCCGGCTCTTTTTACCTCATTTTATTTTTCTTCCTTCTCCCTGCTTCCTGGGTGGAATATCAGCGGCCGTTTGGAGTCGGCCCAGCTGGGGGAGACCTCCCTCCCTCCTTCCCTCCCTCCTTCCCTCCCTCTTCCTCTGCCTCTCTCCCTCCCCTCCCTCCCTCTCTCCCCCTCCTCGCTTTGCACTGTCCACATCCAGGCAGGTGGGGGGCGCCTCCCCAGGCTGAATGCTGACTGTTGCCTCCCCGCTTTCATGCCAAGTTGCCGTCTCCCTGCACTCGGGACTGAGCGCGTCCTCTTTCGGTCACATGTCGGGCCTCCTGTCATCTCATTGGCTGAGATTTTACTTATATACATTTTGATAACCCCACAATAAGCTGTGGAGTTTGGGAACTGCATCATTTACACCCCCCCCCCCCCCCACCATCATGTGCACACCCTGCTCACATAATCCCCATAGCACTCAATGTGTGGTAGTCGTGGTGGTTAATCTCCCCCCGGACTTGAGCAGCCCCCCACCCCACAACCGCTACTTTTATTACCTTAATGCATATGACCTTTAACATCACCACTCTAGCTAAAAACAACTAATAAATCATTATTATTACGACCCCAGTTATTATGAATGATAATAGTGCAGGAAAGGGAAGATCTGTGTGAAGGTGTTCTTGGGCCTGGGGGCTTCCTTTTAGCATGGGGGGTTATTGTTTTGGCAGTGGGGTACAGTGAGGAACTCTTACCCCCCAAGTCCTCCATGTTTGATGATTATGTAATAATGTCATGTTTTACAGATATTTGGCTTTTTATAAAGACAAATGTGTGTGTGTGTGTCTGTGTCTGTGGATTATGTTTATAGTACATTGTGGGGACCAAATGTTCCCCACATTGTAATAAAAAGCAGTCATTTAAACGTTGTGGGAACCATTTCTCAGGTCATAATAAAGATCTGTGAATGCAATAGAAAAACTTAAAAATGCCAAAAGTCTTGTATTTTCTAGGTTACTTATGGTTAAGGTTAGGGCTGGGGTTAGGGTTGTCATGTTGTGATTAGAGTATTTCCCCATAGAAATTAATGGAGAGTCCCCACAAAGATATAATTATAAACCTGTGTGTGTGTGTGTGTGTGTGTGTGTGTGTGTAAAGTCCTCCTATGTGTCCACCCTGCCCCCCAATCTGTACCAGCCCCCCCTGCTGGTGATGCTACTTCACACAGTCTGTTGCTAATCTGCCTTAATCCTGTTTAATGGAGCTGTGCTGTTAGTGGCTGTTTGCTGTGTGTTTACCGGCTTCAAAGCATCACACACTCTGACTCTGCGGGGTTGGGGGGGGGGCTCTGGGTGACAGTCACAGATACACACTGACACTCACCGACACAGTTACAGATAGACACCGACACACTGACACTCACTGAAACAGTCACAGATACACACTGACA